GGGGGGATGGAGGGGAGGGGCGTGAGCGGCACCTGGATTGTGGGGGCAGGGACGTGGGGCTGGGGATACAAAGGGATGGCAGGGAGGGGAATGAGGGGCTGGGGATTGGGGGTACAGGGGATTGGGTGGGCAGGGGGAGGGGACACTTGGGGACAGGACATTTTTGGAGTGGGGGGCTTGGTGTGGGAGTAAGTGGAGATGGAGGTGCACAGGGAGGGGGCATCCGGGGGCAGGGCACAGGGGATGGTAGGGGGCACATGGGGATGTGGCACGTGGGGATGTGGCACGTGGGGATGGGGCACATGGGGATGGGGCACGTGGGGATGGGGCAGGTGGGGATGTGGCACATGGGGATGGGGCACGTGGGGATGGGGCACGTGGGGATGGGGCACGTGGGGACGAGGCCACCACGACCCTCTGCTGCCAGGACCAGGTCTCCATGCAGGCCAGGCACCCGCAGCTCCCCCAGGCTGGTGTGCAAAGAGTTGGGTGGCCTCAGCTCAGGCCTCAGGGGGATCCCGGGGGGCACCCCAGCTCTTGGTGGGGCTGTGTCACCACCTCTGCCCCCCACGCAGGTGCCAGGAGAGGTGCCCAGTGGGGCGGTACGGGCAGGACTGCCAGGAGAGCTGCGACTGTGCCAACGGAGGCCAGTGCTTCCACGTGCACGGGGGCTGCCTGTGCGAGGCCGGCTTCCAGGGCAGCCGCTGCGAGGAGCGGCACTGCCTGCCCGGCCTCTACGGGCTGCGCTGCGAGAGCCGCTGCCTCTGCCACCCGCAGCACAGCCAGAGGTACGGCCCCAGCCCAGCCCGGCACCCCAATCCACCCCGGCACCCTCAGCCCACCCCGGCACCCCAATCCCACCCCAGTATCCCCACCCCAACACCCCCATCCCGTCCTGACACCCCAATCCCACCCCGGCACCCTCAGCCCAGCCCAGCACCCCAATCCCACCCCGGCATCCTCAGCCCAGCCCGGCACCCCAATCCCACCCCGGCATCCCCATCCCACCCCGGCACCCCAATCCCACCCCAGGATCCCAAAACCCCCATCTCACCTCAACACCCCCATCCCAGCCCGGCACCCCAATCCCACCCCGGCATCCTCAGCCCACCCCGGCACCCCCATCCCACCCCAGGATCCCCACCCCAACACCCCCATCCCACCCTGGCACTCCAATCCCACCTCAACATCCCAATCCTTCCCCAACACCCTCATCCCATCCTGGCAGCCTCATCCCACCCTGGCACCCCAATCACACCCCAGCATCCTCAGCCCACCCCAAAACCCCCATCCTGTCCTGGCACCCCAATCCTGTCCTGGCACCCCAATCCCACCCCAGTGCCCCAGTCCAACCCCAACACCCCCAGCCCACCCTGGCATCCTCATCCTACCCCAACACCCTCATCCCATCCTGGCACCCCAATCCCACCCCAACATCTCCACCCCAACATCCCCATCCCATTCTGACACCCCAATCCCTCCCAACACCCCCATCCCAGCCCAGCATCCCCAGCCCACCCCAACATCCCCATCCCATCCTGGCACCCCAAACCTTTCCCAACATCCCCATTCCAGCCCAGCGTGCCCAACTCTACCCCAACACCCCCATCCCACCCAGCTCCTCCCTTTCCCACCATATCCATCCTCTCCCACCATCCTCACCTCCCCCACCTCCCTCTGCACCAATCTCACCCTCCCCTCCTTCCTTCCCCCAATCCTAGCCCAGCACCCCAATCCCACCCCAGTATCCCAATCCCACCCAACATCCCAATCCTATCCTGGCACTCCAATCCCACCCAACACCCCCATCCCATCCTGGCACCCCAATCCCACCCAAGCATCCCCAATCCCACCCCAACATCCCAATCCCACCCCAACATCCCCAGCCCACCCCAACACCACCATCCCATCCTGGCACCCCAATCCCACCCCAGCATCCCCACCCCAACACCCCCATCCCACCCAGCTCCTCCCTCTCCCACCATATCCATCCTCTCCCACCATCCTCACCTGCCTCTGCACCAATCTCACCCTCCCCTCCTTCCTTCCCCCCCCATGCCCCCACACCCTCACCCACCCAGCCGGGCGCTGGCTGCGTGACCAGGACCCCTCCCACCCCACCTGGGGAGGTGTTTCGTGCCCCCCACCCTTTGCCAAAGCCCTTCCCAGCACAGCCGGTGCCCCGTACTGGGAGCACTGGGGGCGCTGGCGTTCTGAGCGTGTGCCCCCAGCTGCCACCCGATGCTCGGGGAGTGCCTTTGCCTCCCGGGCTGGGCCGGGCTCTACTGCAACGAGAGCTGCCCCCCCGGCTCCTTCGGGCCCGGCTGCCTGCAGAGCTGCCTCTGCCTCCACGGGGGGGTCTGTGATGGCAGCACGGGGCACTGCCGCTGCCCCCCCGGCTACACGGTGAGGGGCACGGCGAGACGGGGGGCCTGGGTGGTGCTGGAGGGGGCATGGAGGCTCTGGATAGTTCTGGGGGGGAATGGGGGTGTCTGGATGGTTTGGGCAAGCATGGGGTCTGGGCATTTCTGGGGGCAACATCGAGGTCTGGGCATCCCTGGGGAAACAGGGGGGTCTGGGCATTTCTGGGGGCAACAGGAGAGTCTGGGCATCCTTGGGGGAAAGAGGGGAGTCTGGGCATCCTCAGGGATGGGTTGGGGGGCTGGGCATCCCTGGAGGCAACAGGGGGGCCTGGGCATCCCTGGGGGCAGTCATGGGATCTGGGCATCCCTGGGCAAAACATGGGATCTGGGCATCCTTGGGGGAAACAGGAAGGTCTGAACATCCTCAGGGATGGTTTGGGGGTCTGGGCATCCCTGGGGAAAACATGAGGTCTGAACATCCTCAGGGATGAGTTGGGGGTCTGGGCTTCCCTGGGGGCAACAGGGGAGTCTGGGCATCCTCAAGTATGGTTTGTGGTTCTGGTTATCTCTGAGGGCAGTTTCAGGATCTGGACATCCTTTGGGGGCACTTTTGGGGGGCAACTTGGGGATCTGGGCAACCCTGGGGAGACCTTGGGGTTCCCATGGGAGAATGGGGGTTTTGGGGTTGTCCACTTCCCCTACAGCACCGGGTGACCCCCAGCCACGTGGGTGCTTTCCCCAGCCCTGGGCAGGGGTCTGAATTCTTGGTCCCCACACCCAGGACGAGCACTGCTCCTCCCTGTGTCCCCCCAACACCTTCGGGGTGAACTGCTCGGGGCGCTGCTCCTGCCAGCACGCCCTGGCCTGCTCCCCACTCGACGGCTCCTGCTTCTGCAAGGAAGGTGGGCACAAACGGGGTCCTGGGGGGTCGCTGTCCCCATCCCCGCACCCACCCCGCTGTCCCCTCATCCCGCCCCACAGGCTGGCACGGACCTGAGTGCTCAACGCCGTGTCCTGCTGGTTCTTGGGGTCTCAGCTGCAACCGGAGCTGCGACTGTGCCCACGGGGCGCCCTGCGACCCCCAGAGCGGGACCTGCCGCTGCCCCCCGGGCTGGCAGGGCCCTGGCTGCCTGCAGCCCTGCCCGGTGAGTCCTGCCCGCCGTGCTGGCGCTGGGGCTCGGTGCCAGCGCCCCGTGCTGACCCCCGGCCCGTGCCCATGCCGCAGAACGGGACGTTCGGGGCAGGCTGCGGGCAGCGCTGCGTGTGTGCCCACGCTGATGGCTGTGACCCCGCGACGGGAGAGTGCCGCTGCCTGCCTGGCTGGACAGGTAAGGGGCACGGCAGGTGTCGGGAGGACCCCGGCGTGCCCTCGGCCATCAGCTTCACCTCTCACCCTCCCTGCAGGGCGGCAGTGCAAGCAGGGCTGTCCCCAGGGCTCCTGGGGCCGCGGCTGCCACATGTCCTGCTCCTGCCGCAACGGAGCCTCCTGCTCCCCCCGGGACGGGTCCTGCACCTGCACCCCGGGCTACCGCGGCCCCAGCTGCCAGCGCCGTGAGTCAGCACCCCCAAAATCCCAGGCTGCTCCCGGTTTGATCCCTAGGGATCAATGCCAAGCTCGTCCCTCCGTCCCCAGCCTGTCCCCCCGGCCGCTACGGCAAACGCTGCTCCCTGAGCTGCTCCTGTGCCAACGGCTCCTCCTGCCACCCCACCAACGGCTCCTGCCTCTGCAGCCCGGGCTGGAGGGGTCCCCGCTGCTCCCAGCGTGAGTAGGGGGAGCGGGGAGCAAGGGGGCCACGATTGAGGTGGAGGGAGCCAGAGGCAGAACTGCCCGTGGCCACCTGGGTGACTCCTGTGCGGTCCTGGCCTGGGCAGGACGGGCCATGCAGGTCCCTGTGGACCTCCAGGGTGCTGGCCACCTTATGGTTAACTGGTCCCAGTATGGAGTTAGTGGACCAGCTTGTGGCTGACTGGTCCCAGGATGGAGCTGCTGGGCCACCTTGTGGTTAACAGGTCCCAGGATGGAGCTGCTGGGCTACCTTGTGGTTAACAGGTCCCAGTATGGAGCTATTGGGCCAGCTTGTGGCTAACTGGTCCCAGTATGGAGATATTGCACCAGCTTGTGGCTGACTGGTCCCAGTATGGAGTTATTGGACCAGCTTTTGGCTGACTGGTCCCAGTATGGGGCTATTGAGCGACCCTGTGGCTAACTGGTCCCAGTATGGAACTTTGGGCCACCTTGTGGTTGCCTGGTCCCAGTATGGAGTTATTGAGCCACCCTGTGGCTAGCTGGTCCCAATATGAAAATATTGGGCCATCTTGTGGCTAACTGCTTCCAGTATGGAGCTGTTGGGCCACCTTGTGGCTGACTGGTCCCAGTATGGAACTTTGGGCCATCTTGTGGCTGACTGGTCCCAGTATGGAGCTATTAGGCCACCCTGTGGCTGACTGGTCCCAGTATGGAGCTGTACGGTCCCGCTGTGTCCCCAGCCTGTGCCCCTGGGACCTTTGGGCTCCAGTGTGACCAGCTCTGCCACTGTCCCCACAATGCCACCTGTGACCCCACCAACGGGACGTGTCCCTGCGCCCCAGGCACGGCTGGGCCCCGCTGTGAGGCTGGTGAGTGGGGACAGGGTCGGGGGTCCCCAAGGTCCTTCCCCCACCCTGAGGACCAACCTTCCACCCCTCCCCACTAGGGCATCCTGACCTGCCCTACACCATCGAGCCAGCCCCTCCTGCAGCCTACAGCCCCCTGGGCATGCTGCTGAGCCTGGTGGCCCTGGTGGCCTTGCTGGTGGCTGTGGTGGCCGCCAGCCTGTGCTACCACCGCTGGCAGAAGGGCAAGGAGCGGCGGCACCTGGCCGTGGCCTACAGGGCAGGACAGACGGACACCTCGGACTACATGGTGCCAGGTCAGCAGCGTGGTGGTGGCGTGGGCCCAGCCCCGTGGTGGTCCTCTGGCACCTGGCTGACTCCTGTCCCTCCAGATGTGCCCCTGAGCCACCACGCCCACTACTACTCCAACCCCAGCTACCACACGCTGTCGCAGTGCCCGCTGCCAGCCCCCGGCCCCCAGGACAGAGGCAGCTCCCTCAAGGTACGGCAGGCTGGCATGGGACAGCACGGGGTTGTGTGGGGCACCGCTGCCACCACCTTTGAGGCCAACCTGTCCCCGTTTCGGGCTCCAGGTGCCTGGCACCCAGCTCTTCCCCAGCGTGGAGAGGCCCTACAGCCCCGAAGGCAATGCCACACTGCCTCCTGACTGGAAACACCTCGGGCCCAGGGGTGAGGAGGAGGTGGAGGGGTGGGCACCTGAGTGCCCCGCTGCTGCTCAGGGTCCCCTGGGAAGGGGCTGGGGTGGGGTGGGTGGAGAACTTCCATGCTGGGGGGAAGACAAAGCAGAGGGGAGCCCAAATCTGCCCTGTGAACAGGGAGGCAGCTGGACAGGAGCTACACCTACAGCCACGGCCTGAGGAAGGGCGACAGCAAAGGTGGGAGAGGGATGGAGGAAGAGACGGGGACAGGGTGGGGACGGGATGGGGCTGGGCCTGGGGCAGGTGTGGGAAAAGGATTGGGGGTGGGATGGGATGGAGATGGAGATGGAGATGGAGATGGAGATGGAGATGGAGATGGAGATGGAGATGGAGATGGAGATGGAGATGGAGATGGAGATGGAGATCAGATGGGGATAGGGATTGGATGGGATGGGATGGAGATGGAGATGGAGATGGAGATGGAGATGGACATGGACATGGAGATGGAGATGGAGATGGAGATGGAGATGGGGATGGAGATGGAGATGGGGATGGAGATGGAGATGGAGATGGGGATGGAGATGGGGATGGAGATGAGGATGGGATGGGGATGGAGATGAGGATAGGATGGCATGGGGAAGTGACAGAATTTGCTGGGATGTGGAAGGGACAGGGATGGATTTGGGATGGGGAAGAGACAGGGCTGGGGTGGGGAAGGGACAAGGATGGTTTGGGGCTGGGTTGGAACAGGACTGGATTAGGGTGGGGATGTGGAAGGGACAGGGATGGGGTAGGAAAGGGATGGGGCTGGGACCTGCCTGAGACACAGCTGCTCCTTCTCCCCGTGCTCCCCCAACTCCTTCTCCCCCAGAGCACCCCTGGGAGGGGCTGAGGGCCAGCGCCAGCTCCCTGGCCAGCGAGAACCCCTACGCCACCATCAAGGAGCTGCCCCCTGCCGCTGCCAAGGCCCACGAGGGCAGCTACATGGAGATGAAATCCCCTGTGCAGAGGGAGATGTCCTACACCGAGATCGGGCTCCTCGAGGAGCCACCACAGGAGGGTACGGCCGGGCGTCCCCTGGCCCTGGTGGTCCTGGTGGTCCTGGTGGTCCTGGTGGCCTTTGTGGTCCTGGTGGTCCTGGTGGCCCTGGTGGTCCTGGTGGTCCTGGTGGTCCTGGTGGTCCTGGTGGCCCTGGTGGCCCTGGTGGTCCTGGTGGCCCTTGTGGTCCTGGTGGTCCTGGTGGTCCTGGTGGTCCTGGTGGCCCTTGTGGCCCTGGTGGTCCTGGTGGCCCTGGTGGCCCTGGTGGTCCTGGTGGCCCTGGTGGGTGGAGTCACAACCCCAGTGATGGGGAATGCATAACTCCAGGATGGAAACGGCCTTGGTGACAGCCCTGTGGGGGGACACAATGCTGGTGGCAGCAGCTGTCAGTGCCCAGGGGGACATTGGTGACGGGGCTTTCGTGACCCTGGGAGGAACGTGTTCCCCTTGCAGCCTTCTCTTGTCCCCACAGAGAGTTGTCCCGAAGGTCCCCCCACCAGAGACCCCCCCAGCCACTACGACTCCCCCAAGAACAGCCACATCCCCAGCCACTACGACGTGCCACCTGCCCGCCACTACCCCCCGTCCCCACCGCTGCGCAGGAAGGACCGCTGAGGGAGCCGGGAGGAGCACGGAGGGACCCGCCACGAGGGGACAGAGGGTCCCTGCGGGGACCCGAGCACCCTGGGACTGCTGCTGTCCCTCAGCACGGGTGGTGAATAAAGGGTGCTTGGTGTGGATTCGGTGTTTGGTGTGGATTCGGTGTTTGGTGTGGATTCAGCGTTTGGTGTGGATTCGGTGTTTGGTGTGGATTCGGTGTTTGGTGTGGATTTGGTGTTTGTTTGGTGTGGATTTGGTGTTTAGTGTGGATTTGGTGTTTGGTGTGGATTTGGCGTTTGGTGTGGATTTGGCGTTTGGTGTGGATTTGGTGTTTGTTTGGTGTGGATTCGGTGTTTGGTGTTTGTTTGGTGTTTGTTTGGTGTGGATTCGGTGTTTGGTGTGGATTTGGTGTTTGTTTGGTGTGGATTCGGTGTTTGGTGTGGATTTGGTGTTTGTTTGGTATGGATTTGGTGTTTGGTGTTTGTTTGGTGTTTGTTTGGTGTTTGTTTGGTGTGGATTCGGTGTTTGGTGTTTGTTTGGTGTTTGTTTGGTGTGGATTTGGCCTTTGGTGTGGATTCAATGTTTGGTGGTTGATGTTCACTGTGCCAGGGAACTGTACGGCTCTGGCGCCGTGGTGGGAGGGAGGGGGATTCTGGTGGGGTCCCAATCTCGCTGTGGGTTCCTCCCTGCTCCCTCCAGGGTGTGCACGAGGCGGGAACATGAAATCTTTTGGGTCCTGCTCAAAGCATGGCAGTGCCCATGGAACAGGGATAGGCTGATGGAGCCCACGCTGTGCCAGGGTCAGAGTGGGCTCACCCGTGGGCCTGCATGAAGCCCAGGGAAGGGGGAAACCCTGAAGTGCCCCAGGAGGAAGAAGCAGAGCCCCCAGAGCTGGGATGATGGTTCTCTCTGAGCCTTTTTTGGGGGCAGCAGTTGCTCCTGCGGGCTGGGCAGGACGTGGGGAGATCTGCAGCTGACTCAGAATAGAGCAGGGGCTTGTGTGGACACGGGCAAAGCCCAGCAGAACCCCTGGTGCTCCTGGGAGGGAGCAGGGTCCATGCTGCTCTGGAAGCTCCATCAGATGCCACGGTCTGTGTGGTGCCATGGAAAGTTCTGCAGAGCCCCAGGACACTTTGGCAGGGGGCAGGGGTCCCAGAAAGCCCAGCAGAGGCTGTCCCACACCATGGGAAGGAGAACAACCCCCTCACAGCCCAGCTGGGCCTGCCATGGAGCAGCAGTGGGAGCAGGGACCTGCATGGTCCCACCAAGCCCAGGGCTCACCGGGAACTGGAGCGACAGGACAAGGAGGAATGGCTTCAAGCTGAGAGAGAGAAGGGTCAGGTTAGAAATTCTTCCCTGGGAGGGTGGGCAGGCCTGGCACAGGTGCCCAGAGCAGCTGGGGCTGCCCCTGGATCCCTGGCAGTGCCCAAGGTCAGGTTGGACGGGGCTTGGAGCAGCCTGGGATAGCAGAAGATGTCCTGCCCATGGCAGGGGTGGAACAAGATGAGCTTTAAGGTCCCTTCCAACCCAAGCCACTCCACGATTCTGTGACTCTGCCTTCAGAATGACTTTGGCCCTTGGGCTTGAAGCAGGTTCCTCTGCCAAAAGTGTCACAAGGAGACACCAGCGGGCTCTGGGAGATTCAGCTTGGCAAGTACACGCTGTGAGAAACAGCACTAGATGTGCTCTTGGAGAGTTAAACCCGTGGTTCAGCAGGTTGTGGAGATGACACAGCAGCGTTGGACACATGATTAAAGGAGCGAGGGATATGTGGAATGTGAAAATTCCCCGCTGGGGAATGCTGTGCCCACAACGCTGCTGCTCCCGTGGAAAAGCCGAAGCCAAGGCGAGCACAAGCGCTGGGCAAACCTTGGCAATGGGCTGGTTTGGTGGATGGAGTCCTGAGCCATGAATTGTCCTGCTGTTGCAGCCCCTGGGGCTCCCAGCATGGGGGAATGAGGCAAACAGGAGTGATGCTGTCAGTGGGATTTCTATTCTTAAGCATCGGCGTTGCCGTTGTTCATTGTAGAATTCCTCATTTCCTCTCTTCCATCCCATCTCTTCCTTCTGTTCAGCAGAAGGCAATCACCCAGCTGGGAGAATTCCCGGGAAGGAGATTTCACGGGGGGGTGGTGTTGTCCCAGAACAGGTTCTTTCACCTGGTGTGCAAGAGGCCGATCCACCCACAGGGCGAGGAATTTGATTTATTTCCTGCTCTGGGCAGAGAGCAGAGCTGGGCAACCTGTCTGGAGACAAGAGTGGGGCTGGAAGGTGAAAAGTGAGCGACACTGGGCACGGGGAAGGGCAGGAGGGGCTGAGGCCGGGCCTGTGACTGTGCCCGAGGGGAGAGGGAGAGCTCAGGGGTGCGGTGATCTCCGATCTGCCCATGGGTGGGGTGGTGAAATCTCCGATCTGCTCATGGGTGGGGTGGTGAAATCTCCGATCTGCCCGGCCACAGCTCAGGGACTTTAAAAGACTCGGTTCAGGAGAAAAGGGTGCACAACGAGGAGAGAGTGAATGTGCCTCTGGATCCAAGGGTGGGCACAGCTTTCTCCTTCTTTTCTTTTCTTTTCTTTTCTTTTCTTTTCTTTTCTTTTCTTTTCTTTTCTTTTCTTTTCTTTTCTTTTCTTTTCTTTTCTTTTCTTTTCTT